AAGAAAAGAAAACCAAGGAAGGGGTATAAGGGTTATTGGGAGAAAGTGAGTTTTCTAAAGTGTGGCCTGGCTCATTGCAGCATTATTCACGGTGGCCAAGATCTGGAAGCAGCCCAAGTGCCCATCAGTAGATGAGCGGATAAAGAAGCTGTGTTATGCTTACACCATGGAATACTGCTTAGCTGTAAGAAAAGAAGGAAATCTTACCTTTTGCAACAGCATGGATGGACCAGGAGATTATGACGCTAAGTGAAATAATCCAGTCAGAGAAAGACAAATACCGTATGATCTCACATGTGGAATCTAGTGAACAAAATAAGTTGCTGAATGAAATTGAAACAGAGGCATAGATACATGGAACAGGCTGATAGCTATCAGAGGGGCGGGGGGTTGGAGGACTGGATGAAAGAAGGTGAAGGGATTAAGCAAAAAACCCCACAAGAAACGACACAGGCACAACAAAACCAAACCCCCTTAACCACAGTCAGCAGTGTGGTGATAGCCAGAGGGAAGGGGGGTCAGAGCAGGCAGAGGTGGTCAGAGGGGGAGAGGAGGTGGAAACAAGTTAGTTCACTTTAGCAACCATCCTGCCAGGAGATGGTGGGGACTTTCATTCAACCACTAAGCAAACATTTGCGGAGTGGGCGGTGGGCACACTGTGCAGATGATGCTCCGTTGAGTTACACACTTGAAACCTGTGTGGTTTTGGGAACCAGTGTCACCCCAATAAATAAAAAAGAGGGGGCCATGGAGGGAAGCCTCATTGGGGTGACATTTGAGGACCCCAAGGAGGTTGGCGAATGTGAACACCAGCAGGGGGCGGGGGGAGGGGGTTTGAGGTAGGATCACTAGGACTCGGAGACAATCAGCAGGAGGACAGGAGTGAGGGAGAAGGAGACCCAGGACCACTCCAGCACAGCCTGCCCGGGGCCCGCGGCGCCCTGGTGTCTGAGGATGGGGTGCTGCCATTTCCCTCCTGTGGTTCTGGGGGGCAGTCTGTCTCCTCACTGAGCTGTGAGCTCCCTGAGATGATGATGGCTCCTCCCTTGTTGCCTCCACATTGGCCAGGCCAAGTGCTGAGCACATGGTGCTCAGTGAGGATCACTGTCGGAAGGCGCTTTACACAGCCTCCGCCCACCCTGAGCCTCGGGGCCTCAGCTCTGCTCCTTCTGAGCTCCCGGTGCCACCTCAGTGGCTGCCTCTCGTACTGGACGCCAGGAGGACGCCGCTCCAGAGGGGGAAAGCCGAGGGTCCGGCACAGGCCGGGCGGGCCGCGGAGGGTTTGAGCATGGGCCGCACAGCGGCCCTGGCCCTGTCTGCTCTGTGGCCCATCGCGGCGTGTTTGTAAGTACGCTGCACCTCCCCCCTTCACTGACCCTCCCGCTTCCGTTTCTGATTGTCCAGGATCCCTTGGTCCCCCGTGGGCATTGTCCCCCGTGGCCTCCCTGATGCAGACAGCGGGGCGGCAGCGGCTGCTCCTGGCTTCAGCCCCCGCTCCCCTCTCTCGCCCTCAGAGCTTACCGTGCCTCTTGCCGTGCCCTACCTGGACCAGCCCCCCTCCCCGCTGCACTTCTACCGGGACTGGGTCTGCCCCAACAGGCCCTGCATCGTCCGCAACGCCCTGCAGCACTGGCCGGCCCTCCGGAAGTGGTCGCTCCCCTACCTCAGGTGGGCCCCGGCGGGAGGTGGGCGGTGCTTGTCCAGGTGACCAGACGTCCCGCTTTTGGCGGGACAGTCCCGATTCTTAACAATGTGTCCCGCGGCGTTTTATTTTTTATTTTTTTAAATATATTTTATTGATGTTTTACAGTGAGGAAGAGAGAGAGATAGAGAGCTAGAAACGTCGATGAGAGAGAAACATTGATCAGCTGCCTCTTGCACACCCCTCACCGGGGATGTGCCTGCAACCAAGGTACATGCCCTTGACTGGAATCGAACCCGGGACCTTTCAGTCCGCAGGCTGACGCTCTATCCACTGAGCCAAACTGGTTTCGGCTGTCCCATGGCATTTTAAAAAGTCCCGATTTTTAAATCGGGACTGTCCCTCCAAAAGCGGGACGTCTGGCCACCTTATGCTTGGTGGCATCTGGGCCGGCGCCGAACGTCCGTTCTTCCAGAGCCGCCGTGGGCTCCGCGGAGGTGAGTGTGGCCGTGACGCCGGACGGCTATGCGGACGCCGTGCGGGGGGGCCGCTTCGTGATGCCCGCCGAGCGCCGCCTGCCCCTGAGCCGCGTGCTGGACGTGCTGGAGGGCCGGGCCCGGCACCCTGGGGTGCTCTACGTGCAGAAGCAGTGCTCCAACCTCCTCACCGAGCTGCCCCAGCTGCTGGGCGACCTGGAGCCCCATGTGCCCTGGGCCTCCGAGGCGCTGGGTGAGTGCGGGCGGGCGGGCGGGCGGGGGACCGGCCCTCCCCGTCACTGACGTCCGGCCCGCAGGGTCAGGGCTGTGCGCTAAGCGCTCACGTCCCCGGCCTCGGCTCCCTGTCCGTGAAGGGAAGATGGCTGCCCCTTCCTGGAGCCCACCTCTGCCCCTGCCCTCTGCTCTCTCCCCGTTTCTGCCGGGTCCCTGGAAAGCTTTGCCAAGGCCCACCCAAGTTCTGGCGCAGCATCGAGCCTCACCTTCAGGCCACCCTCCCAGCCCCCTCTCCCCTCCCGCCTGCAGGAAAGATGCCGGACGCCGTGAACTTCTGGCTGGGGGAGGCGGCTGCCGTGACGTCCTGTAGGTATCGGTGGGGAGGAGACCACGAGCGGGAGGCTGGGCCTCACGGAAGTCAGACTGACTTTTCTCTAAGATTTCTTCTGGGATTCTGGGCGCAGACACAAGAGGGGCCCCCTGGAAGCTGGGGGGGGGGGGGAGGCACCATAGCATTAGGGGGGAGGGCATTGTTTCTTTCCGTCCCTGGAGACCTTTGCAAAGGCCGTCCCGGTCGGGAGAGCTCTGTCTGCTAGAATTCTCCTCAGTGGAGATGGGCCCAGGGCCTGGCAGGTGTCAGTCCCTGGAGGACAGAGATCAGAAATGCCTGACGCCCACCAGGCACCCCCTCACCTCTGCTATGACATGCTCTTCTCTTACCCCACAAGCTGACTTGGGGTGCAGGCTGTCTTGTTTGCCCCTCCCGTGCCCGGCCCCTCATTCCCGCCCGGGGCCCCTCTGTGTTGGCAGTGCACAAGGACCACTACGAGAACCTCTACTGCGTGGTCTCGGGAGAGAAGCACTTCCTGCTGCATCCGCCCAGTGACCGGCCCTTCCTCCCCTACGGTGAGGGCGCGGCCGGCGGGCTTGGGAGCGAGCAGCCCCCGGCGGATGGCGGGCAGCAAGGGCCCCGGGCTGGCTGGTGCCCGGCCGGAGGTTGGACCGTGTCTCTGCCGCTCTGGGCCTCCGGACCCCACCCTGTGCCCAGGGAACAGGCTCATGGCTGTGGCTGGCAACATGAGGTCCCCACACCTCCTCCCTCTGGTTTCAGAGATGTACACGCCAGCAACCTACCGGCTCACCGAGGAGGGCTCCTTCCACGTGGTGGACGAGGAGGCCATGGAGAAGGTGCGTGCTGTCCTGGGCCCAGGGAGAGGGAAGGGCGGAGCCGGGGCGGTGGCACTCGCTCTGGAAAGCGCCGAGCAGGGCGGGGCCCGTGGTGTCACCTTAGGAAAAGGGGCTTCGAGCCTGCTCCCTGGCGTCCGCTGCGTCCGCAGGTGCCCTGGATCCCCCTGGACCCGCTGGCTCCGGACCTGGCTCGGTACCCCGCGTACAGCCAGGCGCGGGCCCTGCGCTGCTCTACCTGCCGGCCCTGTGGTTCCACCACGTGCGGCAGTCCCAGGCCTGCGTGGCCGGTGAGGAGCGCCCCGCCCGGGGCCGGGGCGGGCTTCGGGGGGGCGGCTCAGGGGCCGGCGGGAAGGGGGCCCTCCTGCTCAGGTCTCCTTCTCCCCGCAGTGAACTTCTGGTATGACATGGAGTATGACCTCAGGTACAGTTACTTCCAGCTGCTCGACGCCCTCACCAAGGCCTCGGGCCTCGCCTGACCCTGACGAGCGGGTGCTCCAGGGACAGCGCGTAGAGGCCATGTGGCATCAGGGTGCTGGCTCCACCCGGCCTGGCTGCGCCCAGCTTTGCCCGCTCTCCGGAGGCGCCAGCAGGAGGGAGCTGGCAGGGGCGCGGCTCCCAGGAGAGGAGGGGTGCCCGGCCCAGCGCCCTCACCGCCGTGGCCCGGTGACCCTGAGTGAGCGCCTCCAGCCCGGTGACTCTCTGTGGAACGATGATGGCTCCGCCCCCCGGGTGTGGGCGCTGGAGATGGCATCTGTGGGGCAGCGAGGCTGGCGCGGAGGAGACGGTCAATAAAAGATGGCCGTGCTCTGCGAGCCCAGACTCCCTCTGCAGTCGCCTTCTGTGGGCTGCGGGCTGGGCGGGCTGGGCGAGAACTCCGGGCGGTGTGGTGGGGTGAGGGCTGGGTCCGGCTGTGCCTGAGGCGCTCTCTGCTGCCATGGCCTGTAAACCCTTCCTGGCTTCCGCTGTTCCCCCAGCGCCAGGGCAGCTGAGGGTCAGCCCTGTTCCTCCCCCGGGAAGCAGGGGCAGGCACCCGCCCCTCCTGAGGCTTCCCCTGGGGAAGGAGTGGGTCTCCGGCCGGCCCTGGAGGGGGGAGCCCCGAGGCCCCCGCCCCAGCGCGCCCAGGCTGGGGCGGCTGCTTTGAAGGGCTGTTTCATAGACACACCACGCCCTGCCAGGTCATGATGGGCCTGGGGCATTCCTCAGATTGGCCAACCACGTGGCCGGACTGGGTACTCCTGTCACACTGGCACTGGGAGATTGCGAAAGGCCTGCCATGGGGGGCACGGCTCTGGCTCTTCCGTTCGCTGCTCCTCTGGGCCCACCCCTGCTTCCAGACCCAAGTGGCTCCTGCAGACCCCCCTCCCAGGCGCTGTCTGCTCAGCCTCGGACAGCGGGCTCCCTGGGGGCCCCCTCTCCAGGTCAGAGCTGGGAGGCGGGGCTGGGCGGGTGGGCACAGGTGCTGATGGCTGGAGAGGACGGGTCTTCGGGGTGTTGAGCCCCCACCACAGGGAGGGCAGCGGCTTCCTATGGGTTTAAGGTGCTTCATTTCCTGTACAGGCAGCTGATCCAGGAAAGAGTGGGGCTGGGGTGGGGCAGAGGCTGTGGGGAGGGACGAGGGAGGAGCTTGGAGCCAGCCGGGACATCCCAGCTCTGGACTGAAAAGCTGAGTGTCAGTCCTTCGGCCACTGCCTGTCACACCTGGTTCCCGGGGACTCTCCGCCTCATGGCTCTGGCAAGACAGGTAGGAGCTGGGCTCCACTCTGACCCCTGGCCCTCCCCGCCCCCCGAGGCCTGGCTGCTGCTGTTCCCTAGCAGGGCTGTGGGCTTCTTGGCCCCGGTGGTGCGCAGAGGCAGGCGTTGGGCCGGGGAGTGTCCTGAGTCCCCCCCGGCCCAGGGAGAGGCTGCGGGCAGAGCTCCTGGCTCCGGGGACGTGGGCCGGCAGCTCGGCCGGGGCCCCGGAGGAAGTGGCTGCCCCAGTGCTCTCTGACTCAGTTGCTTGGGGTGGGAGCCCCGGGCTGACACTGCTATTAGCTGAGCTTCCCTGGCCCTTGGACTCCATCATCATCAGGCTCTCTCTGCGGCAGGGCTGGCGGCACAGGCTTTCCCCGCCTTGTCAGCCTGCCCGGCCCCATCCCAGGCCCAGGGGGATGGGCTCAGAGGGAGCTGCCGAGGACCATTGTCAGCCGGCCTTGTGGGGCCTGGAGGACTTGACCACCTGCGGGTGGTCTGACCTGGTAATTGCTGTCCCTACCTTCGAAGAGGGCCCATTTCCAGAACTGGGCCCCGGCCAGGGGTGGGGAGTGTGTGTGGGGGTAACTCAGCTAGGGGGCGCAAGGCCTGGCCGTCTCCTTCCTGCCCTGCTGCCCACGACCAGCCTGGGCTGCTTCCCAGGGCGAGCTGGGAAAGTGGGTGAAAGGAGACCATGCGTGTCAGGAGCTGGAAGCGGGTCAGTGCGGGGCTGGGAGCTCAGATCTGGGCTCCCCTGGTCCAATCATGCCCTGAGCCGCAGGCCAGTGCGCTTGGTCTTCCATTTTGATGTCCTTGTGGGGTTGGTCATGGATGGGTGTGCGATGGAAGGAGTTCATGTGCAGATGGGCCGGAGCCGGCCAGAGCCGGGGTGAGCGCAGGCAGGCGTCAGCAGCACCAGCCTCTCCTGAGGCCTGTGTCCTTAGGGTCTCTGCCTGCAGCAAGCCTGGCCCTGTCTCTCTCCTCTGCAGGCCAAGGTGCCCGAGACGTGCCTGCTCACCATTCGCGTCCTAGGGGCCCGCGGCCTGCCCTCCAGGGACCTAGGTGAGCGCTGCGGGGCGGGCACCGGGGCTGCGCGGCTTCCAGAGGCGGGCAGGGCTGCGCGGGGAATGGCAGTGGGCTGGGTGTGCAGGGGCCGGGGCGGCTGCCGAGGGCACAGGAGGGGAGTCACGATCGGGCTCTGCCTCTGCTCTTCCTGCCTCCGGCCGGCCGGGTCCTTGGCCTGTGGCCCCCCGGGCCGCCCGCGGCGGAGGGACGGGGCCTGTGGCCGGGCTGGGAAGGGCTGGCCGTCACGCGCCTCTCCCCACAGTGACCGCCTCGGACTGCTATGTGACGCTGTGGCTGCCCACGGCCTCCAGCCACCGGCTGCAGACACGCACCGTGAACAACAGCAGAAACCCCGTCTGGAACCAGAGCTTTCGCTTCCGCATCCACAGGCAGCTCAAGGTGGGCCACCTTCTCACTGACCCATCCGCTGCCCCTGTCCCCTCCCTCTGGTCCCCTCCCCCCTGCCCCCCTCCTCCCTGCAGCCCCCCCCTCTGCCCCCCTCCCCCCCCTCTGCCCCCCTCCTCTCTGCAGCCCCTCCCTCTGCCCCCCTCCTCCCTGCAGCCCCTCCCTCTGTCCCCCTTCCCCCCCCTCTCCCCCCTTCCTCTCTGCAGCCCCCTCCCTCTGCCCCCTCCTCCCTGCAGCCCCCCCCGCCAGCCCTCCCCCCTCGGCCCCCTCCTCCCTGCAGCCCCTCCCTCTGGCCCCCCTCCTCCCCTTCTGCCCCCCTCCTCCCTCCTGCAAGCCCCCCCCTCTACCCCCCTCCCCTCCCTCTGCCCCCATCCTCTCTGCAGCCCCTCCTTCTGCCCCCCTCCTCCCTGCAGCCCCTCCCTCTGGCCCCCTCCTCCCTGCAGCCCCTCCCTCTGCCCCCCTCCTCCCTGCAGCCCCCCCCGCCCCCATCCCCTCCCTCTGCCCCCCTCCTCCCTGCAGCCCCCCCCTCTGCCCCCCTCCTCCCTGCAGCGCCCCCATCTGCCCCCCTCCCCTCCCTCTGCCCCCCTCCTCTCTGTAGCCCCTCCCTCTGCCCCCCTCCTCCCTGCAGCCCCTCCCTCTGGTCCCCTCCCCCCTCTGCCCCCCTCCTCCCTGCAGCCCCTCCCTCTGGTCCCCTCCCCCCTCTGCCCCCCTCCTCCCTGCAGCCCCCCCCTCTGCCCCCCTCCCCTCCCTCTGCCCCCCTCCTCCCTGCAGCCCCTCCCTCTGGTCCCCTCCCCTCCCTCTGCCCCTCTCCTCCCTGCAGCCCCCCCATCTGCCCCCCTCCCCTCCCTCTGCCCCCCTCCTCTCTGCAGCCCCTCCCTCTGCCCCCCTCCTCCCTGCAGCCCCTCCCTCTGGTCCCCTCCCCTCCCTCTGCCCCCCTCCTCCCTGCAGCCCCCCCTCTGCCCCCCTCCTCCCTGCAGCGCCCCCCTCTGGTCCCTTCCAGAATGTCGTGCATCTGCAGGTGTTCGACCAGGACCTTTGGACCAGCGACGACGCGGTGCTGTCCGTGCTGTACGACGTGGGGGCCCTGCGAGTCGGGGAGTCCCGCCACGAAAGCTTCCTCCGGAGCCCGCAGGCAAGGCTGGGCGGGCGGGCGGGCCGTGGAGGGTGGCCCGGACATGGGCCCTCTGCTCCAGCAGCCGCAGCCCTCTCCCCAGCCCCTTCCTGACACCTCCGCCCAGGGCAGCCCTGCAGGGAGAGTGGACGGAGCAGCGGGCGATGAACAGTCGCTGTCCCGCCTCGGGTCCCAGCCCCGCTGGCCCCCCCTCACCTTCTCCTCCCTCCCTTTCCTCCTCCTTCCCCCCCTTCACCTTTTCTAACCTGCTTCTTTCTCTGCCCAGGGGGAGGAGCGGCTGGAGGTTGAATTTCGGCTGCAGGGTCTGTGAGTCCGGGGCCATGGACAGTCCTGGGCGGGAGGGACAGGGCGCGGGCGCCCTTCCCCGGGGGACACCCGCGGTGGAGGAGGAAGGCCCGGCTGCCATGGGGGCACCTGGGACCCGGGACCCCCGCTTAGGGTCACGGGGGCTCTTTCCAGGACCGACTGTGCCGAGCAGCTGGTCAGCAATGGCATCCTGGTGGTGAGTCTGGACCCTCCCCGAGCCTCAGGCCCACCAGGGGGGGCGGGGGCAGAGCTGCACGGAGGCCCTGGGATGGCAGTTCTCAGGAGTGTTCGGTGCCTCAGGCCCAGGGAATGGAGTGTGAGGAGCCGGAACCAGGGTGCTGGGCGGGGGAGCGTCTGCCAGGAGGCGCTCACGCCGGCTCTCTCATCACTCAGGCCCGGGAGGTCTCCCGCCTGCACGTTCGCCTGGAGGCGGCTGGGGACCAGACGGGTGAGTGCCTGACCCCCGTAGCCCTCAGCCCTTTCTCAGGCCTTGCACTGGACACCCTCTGCCCTCCGGCAGCAGAGGGGGTGGGGGCAGCTTCGTGCTGGGGCTTTTCCCCTTGTTCCCGGGCGGCTGCGGAGGGGGCTCCATCTCCAGCCTCGTCCGGGGCCAGACGCCATCTCAGTGCCGGGAGGGAGGTGGGCTCAGACCCTGTTCCCAGCCTCTCCGCTCTGGTTCCTGTCTCCAGGGTCAGAGGGCAGAGTGCAGCTCGTGGTTCCGGGGGCCCATGAGGGTCCACAGGAGGCCTCGGTGGGCACTGCCTCCTGCTTCCACTGCCTGCCCTGCTGGGAGCCGGAGCTGAGCGTCCGCCTGCAGGTATGTGCCCCCAGCCCCCACAGCCCCTCACCCTGGTGCCCTCACGCCGGCAGAGGCAGGCCCACGGGGAAGAGGGCGAGGCTGGCATTGACCTTGGGCCCCTCCTGCCGTCCTCTGTCCCTCCCAGGAGCAGCTGTGAGGCCCTGCGGGGAAGGAAAGGGAGGGATTCCTAGCTCTTCTCTCTGCTCCTGCAGGACGCCCCCCAGGAGCAGCTGAAGGTGCCCCTGCGGGCCCTGCCCTCTGGCCAGGCGCTGAGACTCGTCTTCCCCACGTCCCAGGTGCGGCCGGGAGGGCCGGGTGCACAGGCGGGCCGGCCCGGAGGGTCCTCGCTAAGCCCTGGGCCGGGCCCTGGGGCAGGGCCCTTGGAGCGTCCCTGCCTTCAGGCCCGGCCGGGCGGGGCGGGGCGCAGGGCTGGCTGAGAGGGACCGGGCGGCCCACGTGTGACCGAGCGTTCGTGTTTCCAGGAGCCTCTGATGAGGGTGGAGCTGAAGAAAGAAGAAGGGTGAGGGCCGGCGGGGTGGGGGCCAGGCCGATGGCAGCACTCGGGCCGGGGGAGCGGGGGAGGGGGTGGGGGTGGGGGGGGCGGGGGGGGGGGGCTCCGAGGTGCTCGGTCTGCTCCCGCCCGGGCACGCGTGCGGGAGCCGGAGCAGACAGGCTCTTTTCACCTTTTACTCGCATTTATTTGCTGGCGGGTGTGCCCAGCCCAGTGCCGGCTCCTAGGAGGCACTTGGTAAACGTTTGGCTGGAAGACAGGTGGGAGTGTGGAGAGTGGCTGAGGCACAGAGAGGGCAGGGCGAGGAGGGGGGAGGAGAGGGGAGGGGAGGGGAGAGGGGAGGGGAGGGGAGAGGGGAGGGGAGGGGAGAGGGGAGAGGGAGGAGAGGGGAGGGGGGGGAGAGGAGGAGAGGAGAGGTGATGGGAGAGCAGAGGCAATGGGAGAGGAGGAGAGGGGAGGGGAGGAGAGAGGAGAGGCGATGGGAGAGGAGGAGAGGGGAGGGGAGGGGAGAGAAGAGGTGATGGGAGAGCAGAGGCGATGGGAGAGGAGGAGAGGGGAGGGGAGGGGAGAGGAGAGGTGATGGGAGAGCAGAGGCGATGGGAGAGGAGGAGAGGGGAGGGGAGGAGAGATGCAGAACGCGGTCAGGGAGGCAGCCCGCTCCCTCTCTGCCTCACCCCTCCCCCGCAGGCCCAAGGAGCTGGCCGTGCGGCTGGGCTGCGGGCCCTGCGCCGAGGAGCGCGCCTTCCTGAGCCGGCGGAAGGCAGTGGTGGCCGAGGCCCTGAAGCGGGCGCTGCAGCTGGACGCAGACCTGCGGGAGGACGAGGTCCGAGGGCTGGGCTGGGGGAGGCGCCCTCGGGCCCGGAGCCCGGGGCCGACGCTGGGGCTGCGGGTGCGAGCCGAGCTCTCCCTGCCCGTGCTTCCTGCCCCCTCTCTCTTGTTGTCGGGAGCTTGGTCACACCAAGTGTGGAGCATGGGATGAGACGCCTGGAGGTGTGAGCTGCCCTACTTGGCTAGCTTTCCTTCTCGTTTCTTGGCCTTTGGCCTGGTCTGGGCTGTGAGGCGGGGCCTGGCCTGGCCGGTCAGTGGACGGCCTCTCCTTGGGAGGGGTGAGGAGGGGTACAGGGAGGTGTCTGCGATGGCCCCGGGGCTCCCAGAAAGTGGCCATCAGACTGCTGAGGGGTTAGAGGTGAGGAGCTGAGGCCTGGTCTGTCCACGCTCCCTGAGTTCTTAAAATCAGACAGACCTGACCCTCACGAGGCTACTTCTGACCAGGCCCGTGGTCGGCAAACTGCGGCTCACGAGCCACATGCGGCTCTTTGGCTCTTTGAGTGGTATATTCCACAAAATACCACGGCCTGGGCGAGTCTGTTTTGAAGAAGTGGTGTTAGAAGAAGTGTAAGTTTATAAAATTTGGCTCTCAAAAAGAAATTTCCATCGTTGTACTGTTGATATTTGGCTCTGTTGACTAATGAGTTTGCTGACCAGTGGACTAAACCCTCCTCAGCAGGCCTGACTAGAACCATTCCCAAAAGCCCTGATTAGATCAAGAACCCTGACTGATTTCAGACAGGAAAGGGAAGGGGGAGAGAGAGAGAGAGAATCATCAATGAGGAGAGAGAATCATTGATTGGCTGCCTCCTGCATGCCCCCCACTGGGCATCAAGCCAGCAACCGGGCATGTGCCCTTGACTGGAATCCAACCCAGGATCCTTCAGTCCACAGGCCAATGCTCTAACCACTGAGCAAAACCAGCTAGGGCCTGATTAGATTTTGAGCAGCCTTAGTTGTAGGTGAGCTGTGGTTTGGCCTTCCCCCTCCCTAAGGCCCCTCTCTCTTTTTAAAAAAATGTATTTTTATTTATTTCAGAGAGGAAGGGAGAGGGAGAGACAGAAACATCAATGATGAGAATCGCTGATCAGCTGCCTTCTGCACACCCACTACTGGGGACCGAGTCTGAAATCCTGGGCATGTGCCCTGACTGAGAATCGAACCTTGACCTGGCTCACAGGTCCACGGCTTAAGCACTGAGCACCCCTGCCGGGCCCTAGGGCCCCTCTGAGCCTGGCTGTCTTCTCGTCCAGGTCCCGGTGGTCGCTGTGATGGCCACTGGCGGTGGGATCCGGGCGATGACCTCCCTGCACGGGCAGCTGGCCGGCCTGCAGGAGCTGGGCCTCCTGGATTGCGTCTCCTACATCACAGGAGCCTCGGGGTCCACCTGGTGAGCGGGCGGAGGCGGGTGCAGGAGCCGGGGTGCCGTGGTGCGGCTCCCAGACCGCACAGGCCTCCGGCCGGAGGAAGGCGGACAGGAATGCGCTCGGGCCTGGGAGGGCCCTGCAGGCTGTGGTCCCAGACCAGAGCCCAGAGGGCCCCCGAGTGACGGTCTCTGGCTCTGGCCTTCGCAGGGCTCTGGCCAACCTCTACGAGGACCCGGAGTGGTCCCAGAAGGACCTGGCGGGGCCCACGGAGCTGCTGCGGGCCCAGGTGACCAGGAGCAAGCTGGGCGCGCTGGCCCCCGGGCAGCTGCAGCGCTACCGGCGGGAGCTGGCCGCGCGGGCCCGGCTGGGCCACCCGCCCTGCTTCACCGACCTGTGGGCCCTCGTCAACGAGGCGCTGCTGCACGGCGAGGTGAGGCGGGCCGCCCGGGGGCGGAGGGGCGGCCGGGGGAGCGGAGGGGCGGCGGGGGGGCGGAGGGGCGGCCGGGGGGCGGAGGGGCGGCCGGGGCCACCCGGGGGCGGAGGGCGGCCGGGGGAGCGGAGGGGCGGCCGGGGAGCGGAGGGGCGGCCGGGGAGCGGAGGGGCGGCCGGGGAGCGGAGGGGCGGCCGGGGCCGCGGCCTTGGGGAGCGGGGTGGCGGGTTGGGGAGGCCGAGGCACCAGGAAGCCGTGGCTTTATGTTCAGATCCTCTCCCCACCCCTGCTCCAGCCCCACGACCACAAACTCTCAGACCAGCGGGAAGCCCTGGCCCGCGGCCAGAACCCTCTGCCCATCTACTGTGCCCTCAACACCAAGGGGAGGAGCCTGACCACCTTTGAGTTTGGAGGTGAGCGGCCGGAGCGGGGGCCCACGCTTTCGTGGTTGGGGGCGGGGGGTGGGTACCGTGCCCACTCTCCGGGCCAGCCCCCTGCTCTGCAGGACTGTCATTCAGGCTTTGGGATGCGGGCAGGGCCTTGGTCTCCAGCCCAAGGGCCAGTGTGAGGCTGAGCCTTCAGGTCACAGGCCGCCTGGCGTGAAGCTGGTGGGTCCGCTGGCCTGGGCCCCCGTAAGGCTGTGTGGCCCCTCACAGAGTGGTGCGAGTTCTCCCCCTACGAGGTCGGCTTCCCCAAGTACGGCGCCTCCGTCCCCTCCGAGCTCTTCGGCTCCGAGTTCTTCATGGGGCGCCTGGTAAAGCAGCTCCCCGAGTCTCGCATCTGCTTCCTGGAAGGTGAGGAGGTTGGAAGGCTGGGGAGCTGGGGCGGGGGGGGGGGGAGAATGGGCCTGGGGTGGGGAGGGGAGCTGGGGCGGGGGGGGGGGGGGGAGAATGGGCCTGGGGTGGGGGAGGGGAGCTGGGGCGGGGGGGGAGAATGGGCCTGGGGTGGGGGAGGGGAGCTGGGGCGGGGGGTGAGGTGGGGGAGGGGAGCTGGGGCGGGGGGGGGGAGAATGGGCCTGGGGTGGGGGAGGGGAGCTGGGGCGGGGGGGAGGGGTGTGGGGGGGATAATGGACCTGGGGTGGGGGTGGGGAGCTGGGGCGGGGGGGGGGGGGAGAATGGGCCTGGGGTGGGGGAGGGGAGCTGGGGCGGGGGTGAGGTGGGGGAGGGGAGCTGGGGCGGGGGGGGGGGGAGAATGGGCCTGGGGTGGGGGAGGGGAGCTGGGGCGGGGGGGGGGGGGGTGGGGGGGATAATGGACCTGGGGGGGGGGGGGGGAGCTGGGGCGGGGGGGGGGGGGAGAATGGGCCTGGGGTGGGGGAGGGGAGCTGGGGCGGGGGGTGGGGTGGATGGGGGAGAATGGACCTGGGGTGGGGCTGGGGAGCTGGGGCGGGGGTAGAATGGGCCTGGGGTGGGGAGGGGGAGCTGGGGGGGGGAGAATGGGCCTGGGGTGGGGAGGGAAGCTGGGGCGGGGGGGCGGGGGGGGCAGAATGGGCCTGGGGTGGGGGTGGGGGAGGGGAGCTGGGGCGGGGGGGGGGGGGGGGTGGGCCTTGGCCTTGACCTCATTCAGTCACTGCCAGGCCTTGGGGAGGGGAGGGTCTGGCTGTGACGGTGGAGGACTCCCCCATGTGTCCCCTGTTCTCAGGTATCTGGAGCAACCTGTATGCCGCCAACCTCCAGGACAGCTTGTACTGGTCCTCGGAGCCCGGCCAGTTCTGGGACCGCTGGGCACAGGACCAGGCCAGCCTGGGTAGGTGCCGGATCCTTTAAGGACGCGGCGGGGCAGCCCGTGGGGCTGTTTGGGGGAATGAGGACTCTCTTTGGGAGTCTGCGGAGGCCGGAGCAGAGGCCCAGGAATGACACCCCTTCCTCCGCTCCTGACTGTGCAGACCGGGAGCAGGTCCCCGTCCTGAAGATCGAGGAGCCGCCCTCGGTGGCCGGCAGGATAGCCGAGTTCTTCACCGACCTCCTCACCCGGCGCCCGCTGCCCCAGGCCTCCCACAACTTCCTGCGCGGCCTCCATTTCCACCGGGACTACTTCCAGCACCCTCACTTCTCCAGCTGGAAAGGTACCGCCGTCCCGTCTCAGCCCTCCTCGTACCCCCGCCCCCGCCCTGTGAGCTCAGTCCCCGCTGGTGCTCGGAGTGCGAGCCCCGCTTTCTCTCGTGTTGGGGGTCGGGCCTCCGGAAGTGGAGGTCTCTCTGGTGAGGCAGGGCCGGCGGCAGGGTCTCCACCAGCAGAAGGAGCCGTCCTGAGGCCCTGTGACAGCTGCTCCACCCCCTGCCCCCGACCTTTCCAGCCACCAAACTGGACGGGCACCCCAACCAGCTGACCCCTGCCGAGCCCCACCTGTGCCTGCTGGATGTCGGCTACTTTATCAACACCAGCTGCCCGCCCCTCCTGCGGCCCACACGGGACGTGGACCTCATCCTGTCGCTGGATTACAACCTCCACGGGGCCTTTCAGGTGGGCAGCCCAGTGTCTGGCCCTTCGGGCGGTGACAGTGACACCGAGTGGATGGGAAACGGAGTTCACGGAATCCACACCCGGGGACCCAGCCGCCCAGGGAGGGGAGCGATGGGGGCGCTGGCAGTGTGGCGGCATGTATTTATTATACATTTGAGTCCCTTCTGCCGTTTTCCACCCCCGGTTGGTCCCTGTGCCTCTGGGTCCCCGCTTTGCGTTTCTGTGCTGGTCCGGGAAGGGTTTGCCTCCCGGTTGCAGGATCGGGCCTCGTTAGCGCCCCGTTCGGGGGAGCCCCCTGGAGCCACGGGATCGGGCGTGAGGTTCGGAGCGTTTTTCCATCAGGCCTGGCTCCGCTGGGCCCGCAGGGTCTGCGTAGGCCTCCGGGCACGAAGTGCCGGGGGTGGGCGGACTGCACGCCGGCAGCCTGCGGCCGCGGACCCGGGCGGGCAGCGGGGGCCGGCTCCCTGACGCGCTCTGCCCGCCCTGCAGCAGCTGCAGCTCCTCGGCCGGTTCTGCCAGGAGCAGGGCATCCCGTTCCCGCCCATCGCGCCCAGCCCCGAGGAGCAGCGGCGGCCGGCGGAGTGCCGCCTGTTCCTGGACCCCGCCCGCCCCGAGGCGCCCGCCGTGCTGCACTTCCCGCTGGTCAACGGCTCCTTCCGGGAGCACTCGGCCCCTGGTGAGCCTCCCTCCTGTGTGCCTCCCGGAGTGCCCCCCCGCCCCCCCGCCCCCGTGCATTCCCCGCATGCCCGCCGCCTCCGCCCACAGGGCTCCGCCGGACCGCCGAGGAGGAGGAGGCCGGGGCGGTGAACCTGTCTGCGGCCAACTCCCCGTACCACTACTCGAAGGTGACCTACAGCCCGGAGGACGCGGACAAGCTGCTCCGGCTGACGCGGTACAACATCCTCAACAACCGGGAGGCGCTGCTGGCGGCCCTGCGGGAGGCCGTGCGGCGCAGGCGGCGGCCCCAGTGACGCGGCGCCCGCCCCCGCCCTCAGCGCTCCCCTGCCTGCCGCTGGCCAAGCTGGGCAGAGGCCGTCAGCGCCCGGCGTTCCAGAGCCTCTGGGGCGCGGAGGGCCCCATCCCCCTGAGGAGCCCCCACGGCGTGCTCCCAGCAGCACCCACATGGGCACTGAGCCGCCAGACACCCCCCGGAGGCCGAGCCTTCTGGAAGGGGAGAGTCTGTCAGCCGGGGTGGAGCTGGGGAGCCGAGCGGCACTGACCAGGTCGGTGTGAGGGCCAGAGCCCGTGGCCTTGTCTGTTCTGTTCTCCCTTCCTCGTCGCCTGGAGTAGGCGCACAGTGTAAAACAGAGCGCTTTCTCTGCCACAGAGGCTCCTGCTCAGGCGGGGCATCACCGAGATCCTGTCATTGCTGCCGAGAAGGGGCCTGTTATTGCAGGCTCTGGGTGACACAGGGCAACGCCTGGTTTAAGAAACAGGGTGCTCTCCTGGTTGGTGGGCTCAGTGGTTACAGCGTCAGCCCTCACATTGAAGGTTTGATTTCTAGTCAAGGGCGTGTATCTGGTGGCAGGCTCGATCCCTGGCCCTGGGCAGGGTGTGGGTGGGAGGCCACCAATGTTCTGTCTCCTCTCCCTCCCTCCCTCCCTCCCTCAAAAAAAAAAAAAAAATCAATGGAAAAACTCCTTGGGTGGTAGGCTTAACAACAAAAGGCGTCTCCCAGCCACCTCAGGGAGCTGGCGAGTGCTCCCAGGCCTCCCTGAAGCAGGGGCACCTGCTCCAGAACCTTCCTCAGCGGCAGCAGTCCCGTTTGGCCTGGGGGGGGGGGGTCTGCTGCAGCCCGGGCCAGGGGAGCACACTTGCAGGCACTGGTCGTCCTCACCGGGCCAGGGGCCTCGGGTGTGGCCGGGACTTCCTGTCCCACAGTGAGGACCTTGGGCCTGAAGAGCCAGAGAGACCAGTGGCTCAGCCCCACCCGGCTGTGACCCGGGACCTGTCACACATTCGTGCCTCAGGCCACTGGCTTCCCAGGAGCACCCTGCGGCCTCCTGGCTGGCATGTGGGATGGTCCTGCAGGCGGGACCAGGGCGTGAGGTGGATGGGAGATGCCCGGTGCTCACTGCATCTGTCGGCCCTGGCCGGTGGCTGGAGTCCCAGAGCAGAAGAAATGGCAGCCTTAGAAGCCACTGTGTCCAGGACAAGGCCATTCACTCGGCCACCCGTCACCTGACGATAAATTGGGATCAGTGGGCCCTGCAGGAGTGACTGGATCGCTTACCGAGACCAGTTGTTCTGCCTCCGTTGCTCTGTGCGCGCTCCCCTGGCGTGAGTTGTGGAGCTGCATGTGTGTGTGTGCGTGTGTGCGTATGTGTGTGCGTGCGTGTGTGTGTGTGCGCGAGCGCGCGCGTGTGTGTGTGTGTGTGTGTGTGTGTGTGTGTGTAGCTGTGGGTCTCTGTGTGTGTGTGCGTGTGTGTGTGTGTGTGTGTGTGTGGAGCTGCGGGTCTGTGTGTGCGTGTGTGCGTGCGTGTGTGTGTGTGTGTGTGTGGAGCTGCGGGTCTGTGTGTGCGAGTGTGTGTGCGTGTGTGTGTGTGTGTGTGTGACTCTCCAGGTTTGGCTCTGTGTGTGGGCCTGGGGGTCTGTCTGGCTGACAGCCTGACGCCTGGTCTCCCTCAGAGCAGGGGCCTGGGGCTGGGGAAGGCAGAGAAGACGAGAAGAGCGAGGGTGCAGGAGGGCTCTGGCTGTCCCGGGAGGAGGAGGAGGACGGAGGAGGGGCGTGGGGCCCAGGTGACAGCCCGGCAGCACTCTGGCCTGTGCGAAGGGTGCCCTCGCCTCGGGCCTGGCCTGAGCAGGAAGGCGGTGGAGCGGGCACAGGCTCCTCTGTGGGTGTCCCCAGGGCGGCCGGCGGTGAAGATGGGCGTCTGCCTCGCAAGGAGGGCGGGGGACGGCCATGGCATCTGGAAAGGGAGCCTCATGACCCTGATTCTTCTGGCACAGAGAGAGCCCGGGGTCTGCACACAGTCTCAGCGCCGAGTCCCAGGCTCACGAGGGTGCATCTGTGCTGGCCCTGGAGGCTCAGGGCGCCCACCCGCTCTCCCAGGCGTGGCATGGCCGTGCTGGGCGCCTCTGTGCACTCGGCCAAGAAGTGCAGGGTCTGGGCTTAGACTGTGGGCTGCAGAGCAAGAGAACACCAGTCAGCCCCAGGCCAGATGCTCAGCCAGCAGGTGGAGTCCTCATGCTCCCTCCTAGGGTCTGAATATCCCCCCCCCCCTTCTACCCGCCCCCGCCCCCGCCCAAGGTGACATGAGGAGGAGGGGCCTTTGAGAGGTGACAGGTGAGGGCAGAGCCATTGTGAAAGAGACCAGTGAGCACCCTGGCGCCTTCCACCATGTAAGCCCAGCAAGAACGCACCCCCTGTAGCCGGAAGACGCCCTCACTGGACACAGTCTGCCAGCGCCTTATCTTGGGCTTCCCAGCCTCCAGATCTGTGAGGAATAAATGCTGGTTATAACCTACCCAGCGTGTGGTATGTTTGTTACAGCAGCTGAACAGACTGAGATGTCCCTGTCTGGAGCTCCCTGTGCACCCAGAACTGTCCATGTGGGGGTGCCGTTTCCCCGAGGGCGTCCCGCCTCTTAGAGGCTGAAGATTGGGGCCAAGAGGCTCAGTCTGAAGGAGATTCCAGTCCCTGTGGGGTTCTGGGAGGACAGTCTCAGGGGGATCCCAGGGGAACGGACGTGTGAGGAACGGAGCCAGGAGCCCGGAGCCCAGCGACACGGGGAGCAGGAACATCTGAGAGGAACTCCCTGCGGTCCTCTCCCTGTGAGGGCCTCGCTCTGTCACCAGTGGCTGTGGCTGCGTGCTCCCTGCCCCTGCAGGTGCTCCTCACAGCCCCCAGCCTGCCACCTGCCTGCACAGCACCTGCTCACAGTCCGACTTACCTCCCGGAGCACAGCTCTGCTCGCACCATTGCCTCACAGAAACAGCTTCCTGCCCACATCTGGGCTTCAGCCTAGAATTCCCCTCTGTTCCCCATCCTCCTATCCCAGCTGCCCGTAAAAATGCTGCTCCTTCTAGGAAGTCCCTGCCCCCCACCAGCTCGTTTCCCCTCCGAGGGCGCCTGTGTGATGTGACCAGGGGAGCTGCCGAAGCTTCGTACTCTGGTCCCAGCAGAGGCTGCTGCAGCTGAGGCCGTGGCGTGGGCTGGGGGACTTCTCTGCCCGCTGAGCTGCTGCAGGAAAGCCCGCACCGAGGCCCGGCCCCTCTGGCAGCGACTGACCGAGTCCCCGCTGAAATGACAGTCCCTTTTGGTGTTGGATTACCTACCTCGCAGGGAAGTGGCATCTCAAGTCCAGTGGGTTTAAACAATATAAAGGGAATGTACTGGCCCACAGACCTGAACCGTGAGGGAGGAGGACTTTGGGTGAGGTTTGATCCAGCTCAAATGATGCCACCACCACAGGCCTGGATTCCCTCTGCCTGCCCTCACTCCGCCCCCCCCCCCCCCCCTTGCTCTGTGCACCGTTTCAAGGCCATTTATATTGTTGCCCCGACAGGCTTGCTTTTTCGCATGGCGTGATTCAGAGAAGAGAGCATTTCTCCTAAGAATGGAAACAGGAGCCTGAAGGCTCTGGCTCTCACAGGCTTCTCACACACCAGCCTGAGCCGGTTTCTGTGGCCAGGGGGAGAAACACTGGCTCAGGAACCACCCTGGAGAGAGGGGGCGGACACTTAATCTAGGTGACCAGATTTCTAATAATTTGTCCCGCGTCCTGTGGCATTTTAACTTTTTTTTAAAAATCAGGACTTTTTTTTTTTTAAAACGCCGTGGGCTGCAGGACAAATTATTAAAAATTGGGACTGTCCCGCCAAAAGCGGGACGTCTGGGCACCTTAGGCTTATCTCACCAAACCTTACGGCTCAGCCTGAGGGTGGGGGCGTGGGAAGTGCTCTGCAAAGAAGTTCTCCGTCGGGATCACCGAAAGGCAGGTGAGTGCCAGCGGGGAAGCCCCGATGTCTGCCCGGGTGTGCACACCTGTGAGGGGTGGCCAGAGGCAGGAGCAGTACCAGCCGCCAGGCTCCACCCCGGCCCCACTGCCCCTTCCTGTGTACGGGGAGGGACCTCGTGGCGGGAATGTTCCTTCGAGGGTGCTCAGTGATGCCCATCGGCCCTCGCAGGCCCTGCCTCCCAGGTCCCCTCCGGTCTCAGTCGGAGCCTTAGCTCCCTCGGGCCTGCTCCCAGACCTGGCCTCTGCCCGTGGCTGAGCTGCTTTCCCTCTAAAGAAGCCCCATTGGGCCGAAACCGGTTTGGCTCAGTGGATAGAGCATCAGTCTGCGGACTGAAAGGTCCCAGGTTCGATTCCAGTCAAGGGCATGTACCTTGGTTGCGGGCACATCTCTCGATGTTTCTATATACTTCTCTATCCCTCTCTCTTCCTCTCTGTGAAAAATCAACAAAATACATTAAAAATAAAGTAAAATAAAATAAAATAAGCCCATTGGGGGAGTCTCCCCCGCAGGCGTCTTCAAACTACAGCCACATGCGGCCCGCAGAGGAGTCTGATCCGGCCCGCCAGGTTTTTTGGGCAGTGAGCGCAGCCGAGGTGTTACAGTAGGAATTAGTAGTTCATATAGTCCGGCCCTCCAGCTCTCTGAGGGACCGTGATCTGGCCCCCACTTTAAAAAGTTTGAGGACCCCTGCAGAGGAAGTCGGAGGTCACAGGATGGCGTGCAGAAGGGGTACGCGCCCCCGCCCCCCGCCTGGTCTCGGAACAGATGACGGGGACCCCCACGTGACCGCAGACCGGCAGACGGCAGCGCAGCCCCTGGACGTCCAGAGCCAGCGGAGGGAAGGTGGCGGTGTTTTCAGAAGTTTATTGATCAGCAGACAGTGTCTTTTTGTTTGACTTCTAAACAAGGTTACAAAACAGACAGAAGCATTGTGTGGTAACTGCATTGGCTAATGGACACGCAACCTGACACACTTCTAAACCAGGCCCAGGTTTCTCTGAATAAACTCAGCGCTCATCTGTGCCGAGAATGTTATTCTGTTAAACACTCTCCTCTTCCTCAAGGCGATCTGTCAGGTGTTGGGTGTCCGGCAAGACGCCGGGAGGTGGACTCCCCGGTGGAGGCAGGGGTGTGCGTGTGTGCGTGCACGTGTGTGTGTGTGTGTGTGTGTGTGTGCACGGAGAGGAGCTCCCGAGGAGCCTGCAGACCCTGGGAGGACTGTGGTCAGTGGGGGTGGAGGAGTGGGGGGTGGTGGCAGGGGACCAGGGCTCTCCTGCGAGCTGGTAAGGAGGGCAGGGGTTGGGGAGAGAGCAGGAGGCATTTGCTTCTCACGCCTCTGACCCACCTGGACACTCAGTCCTCGGATAATAGAATAAGAATTCAGCTCTTCAAGGCCCCCATCTTGTGGAGCAACCAAAGCTCATGTCAGGCACCATGGCTGCATGACGACTAGTGCTCCAAGCAGCGCCCAGTCCAGCCCCGGGGAAGCAAACGCCAAATGAACGAACGGCCCTCCCCACGGAGGAGGGACCGTGTGGGCATCCAGGTGCTCGGGGAGGGTGGGTGCTGGGCGGGGGAGCCGGGGCAGGTGGCACCCGCACTGCGCCGAGCTGGGGAGTGGGCAGGTCCCTGTGCGGGTCCTTTACAGACGGTGAGGAGGGCCAACGAGCAGGGAAGTCACCTTAGGGAGGAGCAGGCTAGTTTTCATTTCCCCGGAAAGGCAGACGGCAAAGGGGTGTGTATGTGGCGTCAGGTGCTGTGTTCGAACCAGGTTTTCCCCTGTGGAGCCATGGGAGCACGGAGATAGTTCTCAGAGCTGGAGTTCACCTGCTTCCACCTCCCAACCGTCTTACCCGCTCTGGGGAGGGGCACTTTGAAAACTGGGGTGGCGTGGGGAGGCAAGAAGGTTGGTCAAGGTCCCCCCGCCCTGCTGTGGGGCTGGGGGTGGGGGAGCCTCCCTCTAGAGGAAATCAGGGGTCACAGGGTTAAAGGAACTTTGTGCCAGTCCTGGGGAGATACAGTTTCTCACTTGGGTGCCATCCCTAATGTTTTCCAGTCGATCCCAGTGGCTTCATGTGGGAAGAGAAGATACTAAGAAAAATGATCACCCGATCCCCTCTCCCCCCTTCTTTCCCCTCAGCAGGGCAAGGATACAGCTGTCCGATGCTCCGCCCGAGGGCCTGGGTAGGGGTCACAATACCATCCTTTTCCTTCCACACAGACACCAGAAACCTCAGTCCCTTGGCTCCCTAAAACAGTTTGCTTACATGTCTCTGCATACACAACCTTTGGCCATATCTACATATGTACACAATGACAAGTGTCAAAAATACACATTTATGTGACATATATGCGTATATATTTATCTTTATATATGACAATCCAGTAGTTAAAGAAGATACTTCTGAAAGGACCATCGGCTGACCCTGGCATCTCTGAACCTACAGACTGAACTTTCCTCGCTCAGTGCTGCCCTTCGGGGGACTCCACTGTGCTTACAGGCGGGCAGTGCCCAGGCACTCAGCTCTGCTCATAATGCAGCAGGGACTGTAACCGTCCCTGTTCTGTGTCTAATTAACTTAAAAGTGCTCAGTAAGAATAAAAACCAGGCTATGCATTTATTTCTTTTAAAACAAAGTTATTTAGTCAGCAAGCTAGGGAGTGTGAGGGCTGGCATCTGGATGCTCGCTTCTCTGAAGGGAAACATTTCTCTTAAGCTGCAGTTCCGGCCCTGAGGTCATAGTAAATCAGAAAAACAGCGTGGCTCGTGGGAGGCTCAGGTGGGCTGTTCTGATTTCATGCATTTGGGTGCTGGGGGGCCCCATGCCCTGTGGCCACGCCATCGCCACTCCACGCCTCTCTCTTCCTGCCTCAGTGACGGCGAAAGGCCCCTGTGCCCGAGCAGCGCCCGCTCACACCGCCACTGGGCACAGGGCCGAGAGCCCGCCCGGGGGCTGCCGTGGGCCGGGAGACCCTCCGGAGCCGCTGTGTCCGGCTGCCCAAATCCTGCCTCCTGGTGGGCATTCATGATCCGAGCCACACGGCTTTCTGAAAGGTTCCACCCTGTTTCTGTATAAAGGCTTTTATCTCATAAGAAGAAGAAAAAAAACTAGACATAAAAAAATGCCTTTTTAAAAAAACAGAGAAATAGTGTCTAAGGCTGTGGACCGAGCTCCGCTCCCGGACGGCCGGGCGGCCGGCTTCTCGCTCTGGCTGTGCAGGCCGGACACCGTGCTCGCCGAGACGCCACTCGCTGAATTAAGCCCTGCCGCGGACCCGGAGCCTGGGGCAGGGACGCGGCTAAGCCAACGGGAGAACCACCCCTTTTCCTCACCGCAGTTCACGATGAACACACTTGGCTGCATCTTACTGGACGGCCAGTGAGAAAAGCTAATTTTTAGGCTCCAACATGACTTGAAATGAATTCTAGAAATCTTGCTGGGGCCAATAAAACGAATTATTAAATTCCTAATTAATTTCCAAGTTCCTAACCAAGTACAATTTGGCAGGGAGGCTCGGGGTGTGCTGGGGGCACAGAGCGGGCGCTGGGACAGCTGCCTTTCCGCTCGGCCTGTGGAGGGCACATTTCTCCTCTCCCTCCGCGGGCAGCAATCGCCCTCTTTGGTAGACAGTTTAGAGGGAGCAGAAACCCTCTCTGCCCTACTCCCTGCCCGCCCCAACTCTAACTACAGCAGGAAACAAATAAATAAGGTCTTTGCTCCCTCAGGGCAAACGGGTTTATGGTGGTGGTGGTCCCGAGACCACAGCTCACACCCCTGGGGCTCCAGCAAGCCCACCCCCACGCTTACGCCTCTCCCGGGGTCTGTCCTCTTTGGTCAATTACAATGTCCTTCCCCACCTCCCCCCCGGCATTTTAATAAAAACGCAGGGAATTTTAGAGGTGAAAGGACGGCGTCGAGTGTTCAGTGTCTGTCCTCTCCGTTCTACAGATGGGGAGACCGAGGCACAGAGAGGGCAGCGCCTTTCCCGGGGTCACTCGGCAAGTCGGTGGCAGCGAGGACCCCGGGCCCCGTCCCAGGAGCCCCGCCCGCACCGCCTGCCCGGCGGGCCCTCAGTCAGCCTTCCGGAAGGACTTCCTGTGCGAGGGGGGCACCAGGTGGGGCGGCAGGCTGCTGGGCAGCTCGTAGCCGTCCAGCTTGATCTTGATGAGGTGCTTGGCCAGCGCGAACTCCTCGTCGTCCAGCATGCCGTCGCAGTCGCAGTCGGCCAGCTTCCAGATCTTGCCCAGGACGCTGTTGGGCAGCTTGGACGTCACCATCTCCTTCTTGGCGTTGACGCCGGAGATCTTGCCGTTGACGGGCGACAGGGCGTAGAAGAGCTCGTCGTAGACCGGCTTGTCCTTGGCCACCACCCACTCCTCCTCGTCGGCGCCCTCCTTGGCGCCCTCGCCGTAGCCCTGGTTGAAGGGGCCCTGGGAGGTGCCCTCGAAGGCGCCGCCCTGCACCAGCTGCATGGGCGCGCTCAGCTCCTCCTGGCTGATGAGGCTCATCAGCGACGAGATCTTGCTGGTCAGCATGTTGTCCACGGCCTCGATCAGCTTGGGCTTCAGCGAGTGGAACTTGGTGAAGTCGTAGTTCTCAAGCTGCTCCTGCAGAAGGAGAGAACGCAGACCTGGTGACATGCCCTCTCCTTCGGAGCAGAGGGGGAGGGGGATGGGGGAGGGGGTTCTCCCGAAAGCACACACTCTGAGCCGGGCTCTTTGGTGGGGTCCCAACACCCAAACTCACCAGACACAGGAGCGGCTTTTAGGACAAGAAATAAGACGCATGGATGCAACGCTTGGCTGCAGTGCCTACTCCTGCTGGCTGCGGGGGGTCGGGGACAGCCACCCCTCAGGGCGGCAGCTCCCTCCCTCCGTCTGAGCCCTCAGACTCAGCATGTCCTCTCTTCCCACAGACCGTGCTGATCTTCACGACGGCCGTGGGCCACAGCAGCACCGGGCGTCCTGGCGGCCGAGACAGAGCCCCTGCCCCTGCCCTGCCCGTGCTCCCTGTGCTGGGACCGACGCTGTGGAGAGGGGCTCATTTAGGAAGACAACGAAGGACACAGTTTTTGGATCAGCTTTTAAAAATGTAGTTTAGAGTACAAATAACTGAAAGTTGAAACTGGTAAGAGGGAACTGAGTAGGGATAGGAAGGGCGAGTATAAATCCAGCCACTATGCCGGCCAAGTCAGAACTGGCCGGCAGCGGTCCGAGTGGCAGGAGCACAGGCTCCAGGACACCAGGATGACTGCCTGGCCAGACAGGAGCCAACCATGGTGCCAGATGGCTGTGCAGAAGTTTTCCTCCTACCTGGGCTCTCTTTGGTTACTCATCCATGCACCCATGCACCCATGCACCCATGCATCCATCCATCCATCCATCCACCCATCCATCCAACATTTACTGGCCACTTGTTATGTGCCAGGCCCTGTTTTAGGGCCTGGGATATAAATAGGAAAAGCCACAGTTTATACCTTCAGGGGGCCTGTGTTGTAATAGAGGAAGGACAATTAAGTATATTTCTTCCTGTCTAAAGTATCTTTGTTCCTGAAGTATCTTTTTCCATGAAAAAGGGAAAAGCCAAGTGATTAAAAGGGAGAGGTTGGGAATGAACACATCAGACAACTAAGGAGAGAAAATCAGGGCCCCTCAGCTGCCCCCCGCTGTGTTGGGGGGGCACATCCCCTTATTGTTGGAGGGGAGAAGCCACCTGCTCATTACAAGCTTTTTCTTGTCCTGAACAGTGAGGTTACCCAGGGCCTTTCATGAGGGGCATCAAAGATCTAGTGAAAAATGTCTCAACAGCAGTTTTGTAAGTAAATGCAGTAATTCCAGGGCTGGCAGCTTTAGGTGGCGTCTGTGAAGCAGTTCCGTTGGGACAGCTCTAGAGGGCCAGGGCGTCATGCGTGGGGGATGAGGCAGGGATCGAGGAAAGGGTTACACACACCTTCACACCTGGCTATTCGGGGCAGAAGTAATGCGATAGGCCATTAGAAAAAGCAAAACTTTGTGCTATCACAAACATCACACATCTATTGTAAGTATTAGGGGGGGGTGAGGGCAGTAAACAAAAATAACAAATTTAAATCACTTATGATCCCATCAAATAACCTACTAATATTTTGGGACATGCATTTCCACCCATTTTTATGAACACACACACACACACACACACACACTCTTAACTGAAATAAGACCACACTGTTTAATAACCTGTCTTTTAAAGAAATAATAACCCGTATTTTAAAGTATTATATTGTCCCATGACATTCATTTTTATACAAACTTTTTGTGTGTGATTTTCCCAAACTATTTTTTGCAAAGACTGCATTCACTGAAATCCATTTCTTAGTCCGTGTTCAGCTAGTGTTATGACATACATTTCCTTAAATGTTAGAAGCTAAAACAAGAAAACAAAAGCAAAACTCCAAGACCAACCAACCCATCAACCAACCAAAGAATCCACCTGCCACCTTTGCAGAATAGCTTTGTGCTGGGCAGTGCTCCCACTCTTAGCCAGGCTGGCTGAACCCCGGAATCAGCCCCACGTATAACTTAGTCTTACTAGCCACAGAAGACGGAGTGGGCAGCTGGGCCGCGGTCATGCCCTTGTCCCACCTAGCTGGACGCTTAGGCTGTTTCCAATGGAGAAGCAAGACTGGTCTCTAGGGCAGCGGTTGCCGAGGGTGGTCCGCGAGGTCCGAAAGGGTGGGGACGCAGGGAGACATTCTAGTGTCCGTTCTGAAGCGGAGACCTTGGCTTTCGCTGGTGGAGGGGACAGAGCGGGAAGCTGAAGAGGCTGACATTGTCTCTAGAGAGGCACCTCCGACACTTAGCAGCCAGCTCTGCAGCTGAAGGTCCCACTGGGCTGACATTACCCTCCCTGACAGACTGTGGGCACCCCTACGGCACCCCGACATCAGCACCGAACGATGCTGCCAACGTCTCGGTCAGCTAAGGGCACTGAGGCAAGAACGCTCAGGAGGAGGGAAGCAGGCCCGGCCCCCCCCTCCACACACACACACACACACACACACCCCGTGCATAGACACCCACCCCACTTCACGAATGAGCCTGAGCCCTGAGCACACACACCGCCCAGTGTCTGGCCAAGCAGACAAGGGAGGGTGGTGTCCGCCCAAACTTCCCACCCTCCTGCAGGGGGCATGCCTCCAGACTGCAAACCTGGCAAGGGGAAACGGCCACATACTTGTAGGGGTGGCAGGAAGCAGCAGCAGCAGCGGGCACACAGGAAACAAACGCCACAGTGCAGCCCCCAGGCCTGCCCAGGGAGTGTGGGGAACAGATTAAACCACTGCCCTCCCTGCCGAGGGTGGCTCCAGAACAGTCTTTTTAATGAAATGAATGCACCCCGGGGAATTTAAGGATCAACTCATCAACAATCGCACCTGTCAAAGCCACCAAGCCCAGGACGGCCCCTCCCGACACAATGGTCAGTGCCCAGCCCAGCCTCCATCCGCTGCCTCCGGACCAATCACTCCCAACATCCACCAGAAGCAGTTTTCGAATCCACAGAAGATCTGAGCAGATGGGATGGCTCTGCTGCCCTCTGCTGTTGAAATGCTGGCAACTCCTTGGCTGTGGGGGCCAAAGTCTCCCCGGAGGACCACTGAGGCAGCAGTAAAGGAGTCTGGCCAGTGTTCTTGTTTGCCAGTAAGGACACATCAGTCATCAGTAAATCAGATTTCCTCCCCGAAGGGAAGGTGGACACAGGCCGCTCGCCAGCAGGTCACAGGTGTCTCCCAACAGCAGGCAAAAGCCTTCAAAATGCACTTGATGCCTTATGGCTGAGAGTCCACCGGACCAGCCCGGTTTACGAGAGCACAGAGCACAGGGAAAACAGACTCCGAGTGACCTGAGCTCTCTGAGTGACCTGAGATGTGCAAAGGGCTTAATGAAGCCATTGCCAAGCTTAAGCCCTGTCCGGGGTGAGGTTAAGGGGAGGTCCAATGCCTGAGGTACAGAGGATGTGACACTCAAGAGTCTCAGGGATGACAGAGGCCCTGACTCACTGTGAACCCCGCCCTCTGCGCCCCCCCCCCCCCCCCCAAGCTTCCTGGGTGACAGAAAACCAGCCTGAAGCACACCTCACAGGCTCCAGGCCCTCTGGTTTCCTGGGGAGTCTCTGAGGGGCCTGGGGTGGTGTGATCAGGGCCCAGCTAGCTGCCCAGGAGGAGGCCTCTTGCAGCTCCCAGAGGGTTGCTCTGGGAACTGCTGGTCTGTGAGGCCTGTGAGAACCAGTCAGGGCTGGGCCTGCAGAACCCTAGAGCCTATGATTCACATGTGAACGGAAAAGGGGCTACACAAACCTGACAAGCACACTGACCCAGAGGAACCACACAGGATGTCTCCTCACACTCCCAACTGGGCCTGTCATAGTGCACAGTCACATTCTGGGCCATAGATTGCTTAATGAAAGGTTAGCTTGTGCCTTAGGTGAGTCCTGTCCGTTGTTTGTGCATCTGGGATAACGTGCCCTTAGAATGTCAATAACTGTCTTTTCCAGACCCCTGGAGAAGGCATAACCACCTGCACCAGGAAACGCATTATTGTTACCTTGTTGCCTCAGACCTCCTCTATTTACTGTAAATGTGAAATGATAAGCATCCTGTACCTACCATTTTACTTTTTATCCAATCCTAGAGATTTCCCTGCTTTGCCTTCTCCTGCCTCCATAACCTACCAGCAATGGGTTGTAAGTAACCTTTCTTACGTTTTCTCCTTTATTTCTAAATGTATAAAAAGAACTACAAAACTACCTAATCCTTTGAGATTTTCCTTCTGGCTGATCTTCAGTTTTGTTTTTCCCCCTGAAATAAATGCTTATAAAATTTTCTATAGGCTTGGACATAAGCATACACTAACTTAACGATGAACTCACTCAGCACGTACTCACTGGCACCTGCTGCCCGCCAGGTGTGGGGATGTGGTGTGAACAGGACATTGGTCACTGGCCTCATGGAGTTGCAGCCAATGAATACATCACCTGTATCAGGAGCACATGTCCCAACAATGAGCTTTGCTGCCAAAAGTTTCACTGCCAACCACAGTCACAGTGGCAAATACCATCACCCATAACGTGTATCCCATTGGGGCAAAGATATTTGCCATCTGTTCATTTTTGTTTGCTGACTTATTCTGGGGCCTACAAAGTGCCTGGTCACAGTAGGCTTAATATTCCTTGGGTGAATGACTAAGTGAGCGCAGGGGATTGGGCACCTGTCAGGTGGGACTCCTTCATCCCAGCCCGAGGGCCCTCAGGTGTCCATTGAAGGTGCTCAGGCACCTACCTGTGTGCGGCTGACCCACAGGGTTCTCAGAGAAAGTCCGAGCCTTCCTAAATTGTCCATCTAACTGGGCTGTGCCTGCTCCGGAGACCTGAGGTGAAGGGGCATATGGCTTCCTTGTTTTCTTCCCCAGGGACTGCCCTTCTGCCCCAGCTCTGCCCCGGCAGGCCCAGGCTAAAGCAGTCATCAGCTCTGGCCAGTTTGCCCCGTTAAGGGAGTCACTGGGGGAGGGTGGGAGGCCTGGGTAGGGGGCTGCAGCAGCCCCCGGGGGCTCGGTGGTACCTCATGTCTTGGGAGCAGCACCTTCTTTGAGTGGGGCAGGCGGTAGCCGCACGGCTAACAAGCCCTGTGAGGCTGTAGTGCGCACAGAAGCCAATTTCCCTTCAAAAGCTTCTGAGGGGCGCCCAGAACCAGTCCGTCAGCTGGTCATGGGGTGCAGCGCATGAACCAAGTGGAACCTGCTCAGGAAGCTGCTCCCAGAGGCGCCTAAAATTAGCCATCTTGTGACCAGAAAAAAAAAAAGCAAAAAAAAAAAGCAATTCGTCTCCTGAGTACGGAAATAATAATTCATTGACGGAAGAACACAGATATTTCTGTATTGATTCTGAAGTCAGCTAAGTCCCATTTGACCAGCTCTTGTATCGCAGATACTGTATTCTCCCCTGAGCCCTGCCATCGCAACAGTGCGTGACCCCTCTCCCCGTGTGCACTGTACACCGCACTCCACTCGGCGCTCGTTCCCTGTGCCTCGGGCGCAGCCAGCAGGAAGGTCTCCTCTATCCGGCCTACGCAGTATTCTTTGAAAGTGTGAGCCAGAATTGGAAAGCCAGGGGACTTTACAGAGTCCCAGCTTCCAGTGGGCCGTCCAGCCCCGCGCTCCCCCACGGCGGTGACCCCGGGGCGGGACAGGGCCTTCCCGCTGGGGTGGTGTTCGAATCTCCAATCTCCCCCACTGTGGGCCCCACAAGTCCCATCTCACTTGTAGGTTTGGTTTCTTCCTTGTAGAGACACACTTACAGGAACCTACACCTCTATCAGATGTGAAAACGTAAGAGGTATTTCAGAGGGTGACGTGGTCTCCTTTTGCCTGGCCTGCCTGGCCGGCTCACGCGGTGGCCAGCAGCTGCGGCCATCTCACCTGTATGCTCGCCTTCCATAGGACTGGCCTCCCGGGGACAGGTTCCTGCGCTGGACTGGAACATGGCGGCCTGGCTCAGGGAGGACCATCTTCTTGTCCAGTGCAGGGACCTGTCAGCCTGGCTTGGGAGAATGAGGTCAGCACTGATATGTTCACCTAACACCACTGTGGGCGGCGGGCACACTGGTTGGGCCAAGGTGGCTGAATGCAGCACCCACTCAGGCTCGTCTGGGGCTGCCCACACACAACTCAGGGAGGCCCTGAAACCTGGCCAGAGGCTCCCAACATGGACATTTAACAAAATCCTCAGTGAGTGTGTGTCGCTGTGTCCAGAGACGTCCAGCATGTCCAGCGAGCCCCACGCCTCTGATGCCTCCTGAGCCCGCAGCAATGACGCTGCCTGAACACGTAATCCCATAGCGCAGGGCAGGGCTGCTGGAGGGGTCACTCCCAGCTCTGATTCCCTTACAGTTCTTGGTTTCCAAAAAACAGGTGTCATCTCAATGTCAAAACAACACTGAACAGAGCCTGAGAGGGTGGCTCAGATAAATTTTTCATGTGAACTTAACTTCTTGGCCTGGGTCCGCTTTGGTTTAAATGTTTCAGGAGGCAGGCAACTTCTGCCTGACTCACAGCTGCCTGTTATCATGGGTCACCACAAGGAAGATGAATTCATTGCCCTCTCCTCCATCCTACACCATGAGCCATGTGTCCCCTGCGACCAGCTGGACAAGACGGCCTGTCCCCGCCCATGACCTGTAACCGGCGCCCGTACCTGCATTGCCTTGACCTCCGGGAAGTCCCCCGCGGAAATCTGGTATTCTCGCTGCAGCTGAATGTAGATTTCTGGCAGCCTGTCGATAAGCTCTCGTTTCTTGTTTTCCTTCCCAAAAACACTCGGCATCTCCTTTTTCAGGTGGCTGATGATGTAGGCGTGTACCTGAAGGGGTACATGTCAGTGAGCGTGTGCCACTCAGAAGTGCACCAGGACAAACAAGATGGCATCTTACATGCATCACAACACACAGCAGGCACCCATGGCAGAGACATGGTCCTCGGGACCAGACGAGGGAAAGACGGGGACCTTACAGCCTGGTTCTGCATGTGTAGAACGTGAGGTGTATGAGGCATGTCTCCGGGTGAGTGGAGGGGAGAGCTGACCTGGACGATGGGTGTTAGAGCTGGACTGGAGGTGGTAGCAGAGCCACGGGAGTGGATGAAACCACTCAGGGAAAGTGAGCAGAGAGAACCCCACTATTAAGGGTCAGGAGAGGAAAGAGGTGAAAAAAAAAAAAAGATCTTGGGGTGTGGAATGTGGCAGATAAGGACCGTGGGAGGACAGATTCAGGGGAGAGGTGACATCTGAGCTGGGCCTTGACTAACAGGTAGGATGTGTGGGCGAGGGGAGGGATGTGGCAGCTGGGGGAGGGAAGAGCATGGGTGGAGGTGCGGAGGCAACATGCTGGGCCACACCTGGACCAGCGCCGAGTATGAAGATGCAGCACAGGCTCAGAGGCGGGGAAGGTGGGCTGTGTTTAGACCCTCCTGGGGAGCTAGGAGCTGATGGAGGATTTAGAAACTGCTGTCCTCGTTCTGTGCTAACGATGGCTCCGGGAGAGCGGGAGACAGGGACGATGCCACGAGCTCCCTGATTTCCAGGGCTGATGATGCCTGGCCGGGTGTGGGTGGGGGTGAGGTGGGCTTCACAGGTTTCTCTCGGAACCCGGTCCTAGAAGGCATCCCCGAGGAGGGCAACTGACATGGGGAAGTTCTATGGCAGTGGTGCTCAACCTTTCTAATGCCCGACCCTTTAATACAGTTCCTCATTTGTCTTAGGCGACCCTGCTAGTGGTTCGAGCCACAGGTTGAGAACCGCTGCTGTAGAGCCCAAGTTCATCAGAAAACACAGATATTTACATTACGATTCATCAACAGTAGCAAAATTACAGTTATGAGGTAGCAATGAAAATAATTTTATGGTTGGGGGTCACCACAACATGATGAACTGTATTAAAGGTCGCGGCATTAGGAAGGTTGAGAACCGCTGTTCTGTAGCCATAGTTCAGTTGTGGCTCTGAGTGGCTGTTCCCTGGGGAGTGAGCGGGATGCGTGGAGCCTGGGAGGGAAAGACCTTAGTTCTGGTGGTTAACAAGAAGACCTAAAGAGAGTTTCAGATACTAAGGCTTTCGGTCAAGATGGCCGTGTAGGTAAATGCAGCATTCACATCTTCCTGCAACTATGGCAAAATTACATCTAAACAACAGAATATCCATCATTTAGAACTGCCTGAAATCTGGCTGACTGGAAGTCCTACAACTAAAGAATTAAAGCAGAAGCTACATTGAGACTGGTAGGAAGGGTGGAGATGCAAAATGGGCTGATCCAATACCCATGAGTGGCCTGTTTTTTGTTTTTTTTAATAATATACATTTTATTGGTTTTTTACAGAGAGGAAGGGAGAGAGATAGAGAGTTTCTAACATCAATGAGAGAGAAACATCAAACAGCTGCCTCTTGCACATTCCCTACTGGGGATGTGCCCGCAACCAAGGTACATGCCCTTGACCGGAATCGAACCCGGGACCCTTCAGTCTGACGCTTTATCCACTGAGCCAAACCGGTTTCAGCATGAGTGGCCTGTTTTTAATCTGGAGAAATATCTTGGCTGTGGAGGTCTACATGAGGAACAAGGGGTCCCAGCTCCACACCAAACCCCTCAGGCCAGGGTTCCAGTGCTGGAAGAGAAGTCCCCATAACTTGAGGCTGTAAAAACTAGTGGGGATTGTGGCTGAGTAACATGGTGTCTGTGGGAGGTCCAGTCAGTTCTTCTTAAAGGGCCCATGCACAGACTTATTTGGACTAATTCCTTCTGAGCTCCAGTGCATCTTGAAAGGATCCAGGGGAATATGGGGAAGAACTAAATTGTGTGGCATCAGAGCAAGAACCTGGAGGCAGTTTTTCCCAGACAAAAGTGTTTGGAATTCCCTCAAGCCAGAGAGCCAACTGGCAGGTGCCCTAACTGAGTTTCCATTAACCTGGCTCACACTGTTTGCCTGGCCCTGGTGACTCCTTGAGACCCCACTCTACCCGATTTGCAGCCCCACCCAAGTTGTTGGCAGTGGTCTTTCCATATAAATAACCTGTCCTAGCTCAGGCTTCAGACTTTTCTAAAATCTCTGAAATAAAGACCAGTTGGCCTCAGCGTGCCCCATACCACCCAATAAGAGGCCCCAGGCCTGGAACTAGCAGAAGCCTACCTTGGTTCACAACTTGGCCTCTCCTGGACACCTTCAAGGCCAATACAGAAGCAACCATCTGCAGGTCTCTCTGTAGCTATGGCCCCAGGCAAGGTATAGGCAGTGGCTGACTTTATACCTCCCTTGAGGCTCCAGAGCCAGTGCATCCTACGATTAGCTTCAGACAATGCCAGATTACAACCCTGCTACACCCACAAGTGACACATTCAAGGGGAAGACTCTGAGAACAGCAAAGCGCCACTGAAGCAAGTCCTGCTCCATGGGGGTCTCTCCTGCACAGCAGCTCTCCTGCTATAGCTGCAGCTGGTCCTCACAGCCAATTGACCTGAGGGACAATCCTTTCCAGTGATGCCAACAGCAAGCAAGGCTCAACTACAATAGAACAGGGCATACAGCCCACAGAGGCTGTACTTAGAATGCCCAGCTCCAGTTACTGGGGAGACTGAGCCACTGGGTCCTACAGGACACCTACTACACAAGGCCACTACCAATTCCAGGAGACATAGCAGCTCTACCCAATACACAGAAACAAACACAGGGAAGCATCCAAAATGGGGAGACAGAGAAACATGTTGCAAATGAAAGAACAGAAGACATCTCCAGAAAAAAAAAATGAAAGCAAGCAAAGTGCCAGATACAGAGTTAAAAACAATGGTTATAAGGATGCTCAAGGAATTTAATGAGATCTTCAAGGTACTTAGTGACAACTTCAAGGAACTTATAAAGAATATCAACGGCATGAAAAGGACCAGATAGAAATGAAGGATACATTAACTGAAAGGAAGAATAATTTACAGGGAAGCACCAAAAAAGTAGAGGATGCCAAGAATCAAATCAGTGATTTGGAATATGAGAAAGCAAAAAACACCCAATCAGCACAGCAAAAAGAAAAAATAATCCGAGAATATGAAGATAGTATAAGGAGCTTCTGGGGCAATTTCAAGCATACCAACATTTGTTCATAGGGGTTCCAGATGGAGAAGGGAGAGAGCAAGAAATTGAAAACCTATTTGCAAAAGTAATGACAGAAAAGTTCCCTTACCTGGTGAAAGAAATAGACATACAAGTCCAGGAAGTGCAGAATCCCAAACAAGAGGAACCCAAAAGGCCCACACCAAGATACAACATAATTAAAATGCGAAGGGTTAAAAACAAAGACAGAATCTTAAAAGCATCAAGAGAAAAGCAGTTAATTACCTACAAGTTGTCCATCAACCGTCAGCTGATTTCTCAACAGAAATTTTGCAGGCCAGAAGGGAGTAGCAAGAAATATTCAAAGTGATGAAAAGCAGAGACCTACAACCAAGATTACTCTACCCAGCAAAGCTATCATTTAGAATTGAAGGTCAGATAAAGAGTTTCACAGATAAGAAAAAGCTAAAGGAATTCATCTCCACCAAACCAGTGTTACATGAAATGTTAAAAGTGTCTTTTTAAAAAAAAAAGAAAAAATATGAACAATAAAATGGCAATAATTACCTTCTATCAACAATTGAATCTAAAAATCAAAATAAATGAATAAAAAATCTAATGAACAAAATCACCTGATCAATAAAATAGAACCAGAGGCATGGAAACATGGAACACACTGGAGAATTTCAGAGAAAAGGGAGGAGGAGAGGGCTAGAAGAGATTAATCAAAGAACTTATATGCATATATGCATAACCCATGGACACAGACAACAGGGTGGTGAAGGCCTGAGGTGGGACGTATCTCAATGGAGGGGAGTAATGGGGGGCATCTGTAATACCCTCAATAATAAAGAAAAGAAAAAAGAGGAAATGAAACCGGAGCCAAGTAAATGGCTGATCTTCACAGAAACGTGTGCCCAGTGAGCAGTGAGGTGAGGATTCCCATAATCTTCCTGTGAACAGTGGTCATTTCTGCACAGGACAAGTTGCCTGGATCCAGGATGGTCAGCAGAAGCTTGCTCCGAGAGAGGGACACCCCCCCGCCCCCTCCATACACGAGGGAGAGCCCAGAAACCCTGACATGACTAGTACCTGGGAGGTGAATCCTGCTTGGCCTGTGTCACCACTTTCCTTAATGTTTGCACTTTTCCACTGAGTTCCAATTTCAGGACATTAAGAAATGCTCTTTACAAAAGTTCTTTTTGTGTATCTAGGATTCTACAGAGTAATTTAGAAGTCAAGATAATAACTAAAATAAGAAAGGATGAAAAACAGAGTGGTGGTTACGAAACAAAAAATGACTATGCAGTTATGGAAAATCCTATTAAAGAAAACAGACTTCTTCTGTAATCTTGTGGAAGAATGGAAATTAAATAAAGGGAGTAAGTAGATCCGTCCCATGGTTCAGCTGAGGGCCTCTGTGCCTGGACACACACGGGCACGGCCAAAACCACTCAGCTAAGACCCGGACACTACAGTAACTGCACAGTGCAAACGCTGGCATGCTCAGAGCAGACAATGCCAACTTCTCCCTCCCTATGAAGGCCATTTGTAATGAGCACCCGTTGTGCTGTCTGGCCACTGCTACCAGGATAGGTTGGGAGAGATGATTCTAAACTTTCTGTCACTAGTAAACTTGTTCAGTTAGTTATTTTTCAAATTAACACAACTTATTATGTTTACACGATTCTTTGAGATAGAGCACATGTGTCAAACACAAGGCCCGCGGGCCAAATCCGTCCCGCCAGGCCTTGCAATGTGGCCCGCACCGC